AACAACATAATAACCATAATAATAATTCAACGAGAAAACTGTCCCACCAGAAACAGGAGAATGTGATCGAAAACTACCAAGTTAAGATTTAATGGGATTTCAATATCCAAACAGACCGCATCCCTGAATTCATTTAAAAAAAAATGGCTGCTCCTGGTGACCATACTATCAGGGTCAATGAATTTGACAAGCTTAAAAAAATACACTGACGCCCGGATTGAATTTAGCAGAATATTGGAGTTTTAGTTGGAGTTATCATTGGAGCGTTGGGGTCTATACTACTGAAGTTAAAGTCCTACATTGTGAATTTTGGAATAAAGCCTAGTATCTCGTGACTTCAGAAGTCTACGTTGCTTTCCAATGAAAATATTCTCCGGAAATTGCTCTCTGTCTGAGTTTGTACGTCTTGATGGAGAACACGATCCCCAGTAGAAAATGGAAAAGAAAAAGAAATGCGAAAGAAGAAAGTATAGTAATTATTATTATTATAGTACAAATTCTGCTAAGAAAAATGAACTTGACGAAGGCTAAGATAGGCATAGACAGGATTAGTAGTAGTAGAAGAAGGAACAGAAGTAGTAGTAGTAAAAGAGGAAGAAGAAATAGTAGTAATAGTAGCAGAAGAAGTAATTGTAGTAGTAGTAGTAGTAGTAGTAGAAGAAGAAGAAGAAGAAGAAGAAGAAATAGATGAAGTAGTAGTAGAAAAAAGAAAATAGTAGTAGTAGAGGAAGAAATAGAAGTAGTAGTAGTAGTAGCAGTAGTAAAAGAGAAAAGATAATGGGTATTCAAAAAGCAAGATGCTGATTAATGTTGCATTTAAATTTTTGATGACTGATCAGAGAAGCAAGTAAATTGGAAGGGCGTTCCACAGGTGGGAAGTGCGTGAAGAAACTGTTGGGTAGAAGTGGCTGTTGCATTTAGCTCTCCCAACAATAAAAGCTTAAATTTTTCTGCTCGGGGCACCAGGAAAAAAAATCTTCTTTGAACTTTGTCAAGAATCTTCAGTGCTGCAGAGTATAACATGAGTCTCGGGTAGAGAGGTAAAGAAGAGATCAAGAAGAGAAGCGTGTCCATCAGGATTACTTGGGAAACGCATAAGGAAGACCACCACTTGTGTTAAAGATTGAGTGATTGCAAAGTACCGGGTTTTGATGCCAGAGAGGTCAATGACAGAGCGATTAAGCCACTTGGTATGGTGGGCATAGATATCACTGAACACATTGCAAAACGGGTGTAGAGAAAGTTCCCAAACTATCTGTATAGTCCATAGTTAAGAAGTTCAAATCTACTCGGACTTTTTGTCAAAGTCAGGAAAAAGTAAAAAATAATATTGACAATAGTAAAATGGAAATTGGTCAGAATTGTTTAATAGAATCCAAGGATAATAAAAAAAGGAATTGGCTAAAGAGGTATTGTCCGTAGATATACATATATCAGTGTTTAAATTCAAAGGGGAAACGTCATTGATGTAATCTAAATAAGTAAAAACTCAGTTCAATTTCTCAAATTTTAATTTTAACAAAGACCGAACAAAACTCATGAGAAAGTGTGTTATGGTCTAATGAAACTAAATTTGAAATGTTTAAGCGCAAGGACTAGAAACGTGTTTCTGAAAGACTAAAGAAATCTTTAAGCCAGAGAAAACCATTCTTATTTTAGAGCATGTTGTTTGTAGTGTCGTATTTTGCTTCCGATGGTACTTGTTCTCTTTAACCAGTTGAAAGAATAATAAAGGAAAAGGACTATACGGATATTATGGAGTACAATCTGACACCAGCAGTCAAACGTTCGAATTTGAAACGTTAAACCAGACAATGACCAAAAGTATAGTTCAAAGTCAGTACCAGGCTGACTGCAATAGAAAACAATAAAACTTATAGAGTGACCATCCGAGTCTTAACTAGAAATTGATAGAAAAATGTGCGACGTTTGAAAATACCGGGTGAACGATAGAAAACCAAAAAATTCATATTAATTTAAGGAAATTTTACAAAATTCATGAATTTTGAAAAAAGATTATTGTAAATTACAAGAGTTTTGCGGCCATGAGATCTTCAAAAAGACACGTTACTAAATCTGTTGTACAGGGATTTTCGAACCGAACTCTTTATTTAATGCACTCTGTGGGTTAAATAAAGGGTTTGCCTTCTACTGTCAAAGTATCGGGATATCTTGATTCATTTTTATTTAGAATTGATCAGTTATTGCTCGTTCTGTTTACACTGAGTCCAGCATAGGGATTGAACTCACAATTACTGTCACCAAATTCACGAATGTAAATAAGAATAACTCCTCATTACAGAAATGCAGATAGAAACCTCTACTTCATTATATGTTTTTCTCTGGATGTTTAACTAACATTATAATATATATTGATTCCATGCCTGTAAATTCTTTCTTTCTTTCTTTCTTTCTTTCTTAATACACTAAAGTGTTTATAGATAACTAGCTAGTTAAACTGATAGATTATGCACAAATTCGCCACCCCCTCACACGCACATACGTTTATATAGCAATTTAGTAAGCGTTGCTTACTTGTGGCACAAGATTGAAAGCATGGAGCACACAGTAAGGATCGAACTCACTACTAAGTCGTAATTGATCTAGCGAGACAAACTTAACGAACCATTACACAATATTGAAATGCTATTTGATCTAGTAAGTTTAGCTTATCTGTGGTACAAGGCTGAAAGTATGAAGCACCCAGTGAGGATCGAACTCACTACTCAGTAGTAGCTAATCTAGCGGGACAAGGTTGCTAATCTTTACACCATGCGAAAGTGCCCAAACACGCACGTTATATCTATATATACAAAATAATATAGAAGAAGAAAAGGAAAGGATTGATTGATTCATTCATTCGTTTTTTTACGGCTCATCAAGAATTTGCAGGTTATAGCCAAAAAATATTTCTAGATCATAAGAATTGTTTTTGGAGATTATAATGATTTAGGGATACACGTTTTACTAATTATCCCATAACTAGGGGAAAACGGTATTTTAGCGTCAGCGAATATAACGAACCCAATTGGAATTAGAACTCTGCTCTCCAATTAACAATTTCGATCCGTTATCCATTACACCAGAAGGAAGGGAGAGAGAGCAAAAAAGGTGATGAAGAACAAGAAATAAAGAACAAGCAAGAAAGTGTGTGCGTGTGTGTATGTGTGTATGCGTGTGTGTTTGTGAGAGAGAGAGACATAGATAGTTAAAGAGGAAGAGAGAGAGAGAGAGAGATTAGTTACAATAGAATAAGATAAAAAATAGTTCAATGCAATCACGAATTGGTATCAGAAAGTTCCAGGTCTAGGATTTTCTGTCAGATTTCCTAGCAGTGTCAGACTTGATGGATTGTTTGACAACGTTCCTCATCGAGCTTCACGGATTTCTTCATATTTTATGGTGTTTTTCTGGTAATTGGTTGCTCTAAGCGCTCATCATTTTGAACCGACACTTGGCCGGCTTTGAAAGGCGCGTGCCACTCAAAAACTTATGTTCGACCGACAGAATATTCGTCAAATGTCTGACAAAAACATTTCAAATGTTTCAGTAGCAGATTTGATTCAGACATGTTGTCAGCCATCGTAAAGCTCGCAGAGTCAATTCAAGAGAACGTTACAAAACAGTGTGATAACTGACAGTGAGAAGATAGCAAATAGCCTATTAGCAGACTGACTCAGTAGATTGGGTACCAAAGAACGTTAGCTGCTCACACATCTCGGTTGAACAGTACAATTACAGCGGGTGGAGTTCAGCAACTTTTTGATATACATCTGTAAATTTGAGTTGAGTCATTAGCATTTGAAGAATTGATCGAATTGTTGATCTCATCATTTTTATAGTTTTAATTGTTATTTCAATGTTTTTGCCGATTCGTTCTACGTACTTCTTCAAGTATACAATAAATATGAAGAGAGTGGATAAGGTCCTTTTTATTTTTTATTTTTTCTTATGCTAGGCAGAAACTCTGATACAGGTAAGAAAAGAAGACAGGTAAGAGAAGAAGACAGGTAAGAAAAGAAGACAGGTAAAAAAATGATAAGAAAAGAAGACAGGTAAAAAAGGAAGACAGGTAAGAAAAGAAGACAGGTAAGAGAAGAAGACAGGTAAAAAAAGATAAGAAAAGAAGACAGGTAAGAAAAGAAGGAAACCAACATTTTCATCAAAAGTTTTAAAGTTGTCAAAAATATTTACTCACAAAAAGAAGTATTTGTCAACATTTCTTTCAGTTTATCACCATATTTTAAAACAAAAATACTCCCACAGATTGTACACTTGAGAAAGGCTGTAGAGTAGATCGGCCAATAAGTTGTGTCAACAGCAAAAGCAACATGGAGAATGACTGCGCCTTTTGAGAAAAAAAGTAACTTGAACAATCTACTATATGAAGTCAAATGTATTTTTAGAAGGTTTCCTTCATATTCCAAGTCTAGAGTTAACCGTTATCTCCCCCTCCTATTCGCATAAGCTGTACCTCCAGTGGCCTTCTACAGGGTGAACGCCACTGTCAAAAAATTAAAATCATAAAGCTAGCATGCGTGTGTGCGTGTGTGGTGATAACTATCATTTATTTCTTTGCTAAAATGAAAGCGCATTTAATATGCTGATAAATCTTAAATGTAATCAGTTTTGGAAAATATTAAACAATTTTGAAAAAGAATTAGCCAAAGAATGATACCAAAAAGTTTTATTTAGGAAGATGGAAGAAAATCTAAGTGTAGATAACTCAAAAAATAATTATCGAATTATTTCCCTTTGTTGATATTAATAGATTAATTTTTATATTTTTATGTCGGTAAATTTTCGTGATTCGGAAATGTTCATCTTCCGCGTCAGTCTTTTAGTTTAGATTCATTCGTATTTCTTCTCCGGATCAGGAACAATAGAAATTAACTGTTTGTAATGCCCAGAGATTTTTTTAAAATTACGATAAAAAGAACAAAAAATAAAATCCATTTTGGGTGGGGGATTTTTGATGCATAATTAACTTCTAATATTGCTTACGGTCATATCACTTTTAAACACCAGTTCCAGTACGATCACCGAAGTTAAGCAACGTTGAACCTGGTCAGTAACTAGATGGGTGAATGCTATGGAATACCAGGTGCTGTAAGCTTGGATGTTCGGGTGGTGCAATGGATAATGGCTCGGAATTGTTAATCGGTCAGCTAAGTTCTACTTCCAGTTGGGTTCGTTATATTCACTCGGGAAAGATATGAATCCACCTCTTTTACCCCCAGCTAGGAGTTAATTAGCAAGACTTGTATTAGAAAATCATTATTATCTTTAAAAAATAATTTAAAAATATATTCTGGCTTTAAATAGACAACGTACCAATAAATCAATTACTTCTAATTTTAAATCCCAGATTTGCAACTGCTGATGTCAAATGCGTAGTAAACAAGTGCGATAATTTATATGAGAAGTATATTCGTTATTCTACATATTTTTTATTTATCTTTGCTATTATCAACGCGTTTTAGTCGTTTGAGTAAGGGACAATACAAATGAGATTATGAAAAATAAATAAACACAAATAAAAAAGGAACGAGGTAAAAAAAAATCATATTGAAACCTGTGCTCAGAAATATATTAAAAATTTAAATCTTTTCCATATTCACTATTTCAAGAACCAACACAAGGCCCTTAAGAAATCGTCAACATCATCCTTCAGGTCATCGCATTTGTCGGAGTTAGCTCCTCCTTAATTCCCTAATTGTTCACTAGGGGACGCTCTCCGTACACTATAAATACTGGGCGACTTGCCTCGTTCTCTTTTTTACTTTGCATTTCAGCGGACACATTTAAAAATGTGATCTCTCACAGAGATCAGCATTTTTGCCCACTTGTAGGGAAACGCCATGAAACACACATACGCGTATGTACGAACATTCACTAAAATACAAATTCTTTACGTTCACGCGCGAACAAAAATCTTGATGTCTTTGTCACTTGTAAATTTGTTGTTTAATACATATATTTGTTGATTGTTCTTGTAGTTGGACCTTCTAGCAAGAATAAACAGCACGTGTTCCTAATTCAACAACACCCAAACCCACACGGTCCTCTGCACATTGGGAACCTGTCAACGCTTTCTTACGTTGACGTTTAATCAGAGGTATGATTCCAATTCCGCCCGTTCTTACATTGAACACAAGAACACAAGCCCTACGATTCTCATGGCCTAATATAATTTTTTTGGTGGGGAAAATGAAAATGAGAAAGAAAGGAAAGGAAAAAGATAGCGATTTCTGAATACAAGAGGAAAGCCGAAGATTATATCAACCAAAAGCTTATATTAACAGTAAATCAAAAAGAAAAAAAAACCAAACCAAACAAACCTGAAGTTTAAAAAAATATGTATCGAATAATTGATTTATTAGCTATATATATATATATATATATATATATATATATATATATATATATATATATATAAAAAAACACTTTTCAATTGATTTTATAGTTACTATGTTTTCTATTGCAAAGTATTTCACGTTCCCCACTAACTGCAAAATCTAATATGGCATTTTTAGAAAAAATATGAACTAAAATGGCCGGGCATAAAATAGCCGGGCATCTCAGTCTAATTACCAAAAATACAAAGAAAAATAATGTTATTAAAAATATGTTATTAAAATTTACTTTGCCTTTGTACAATAAAATTTAATTTAGTGCTCTGAAGTTAAGATTAACAGGGCGTAGATGGAAAGAAACTCCTTATTGAAAATTGCATATAACTTTTGTTAATATCACCACATTTACATGAAACAAAATATATTGTAAAACCTAAATTTCGTTGCTAATTTCTGTATTTATTTAAAAGTGCCAAGTGTAACCCAGAATAGCACAACGCCTGACACTACATGAGAGTAATCAGCTAGCATCTCGTTCTGAAGTTGGGCAGTCTGTGGTACAAGCGCAGAAATGGTGGCGCAGTTTTTATGGGCCTCGTACTTTAGAAGATGTCAAAAAAGCCATCAGAAATTGTCATTCCAAGTTGATGAGTACAGCATCTGAGGTAGATAACCACCCACGGAAGCCGTCATCGTTTAACATCCACATTGCAAGAAAATGTGCAAAAGGTAAAAGGAGTTGGACAATTCTCTTCATTTTTATTTTTAACACAGTTTAAGTAAATTAAAAAGAGGTGAAAAAAAATGAGAAACCGATTCTAATTACTGGATAGTAGTGGGGAAGGCAGAAGAATTTATTGGCCGAATCGAAATGTTAGAAAATAAAAAAAATGAAGACGATAGTTCGAATAAAATAGGAAATGATAAAAAAAATATGTTTTGTTTCGTTGTGTCTTGTACTATTTTAAGAGTTAGTCAGATACAAGGACGCAAGACAAGCACGTTAACTATTGTGCTGCATTGTACGTCTTAAGTATTTACCTATTATATCTATCACAAGAGCGAGCGCACTGTTCGGTCACCAAGTCATAGTTGAAGTCATTATACCAGGGATGGGTCTGCGAGGCTAAGTTAATAAACCTTCCACCACGGCAAGGCACCTGTCAGTTTTGGTTCAGTCGCTGATTTAAGAATTTGTAAAAATTATAAGTTAATCCATTTTGTGTGAGCATTTAAGATGTTTTATAAAACTCACAGATACTACACTTTAATCCTAGGCAAAGTGTAAGAAATGACTCTTTGATTCTTGGAAAAACCGTAATTTTACAAGTGCCGATCTATATATAAATAAATCCGTCATTTTTACGGGTATTATGCTAGTCATTTAGGAAAAGGTTTTTCACTATGCCATTAAATATACTGAAACGTAGAAAAATATGACAGTTGTACTTTAAAATTGCTCATATCAATATACGTATAAAGATCTATCTATCTATCTATCTATCTATCTATCTATCTATCTATCTATCTATCTATCTGATTTGTCCCGGAAAGAGATATATTTGATCGAAGTAGCTAAGTGTTTTTGGCTACTGTAACCAAGTAGTACACGGTAGCAGTAATCGACCGGTGCTCGTCGTAGTCGCAGGTAATAGGTGTAGACTAATAGGATAGCCAATGGCGTAGTCCAATGGGCGTCGTCATAGACTTAAACTCTGTCGTACCTGCACGTCCGTCTGTATTTATGACGGACACCAGCCAATCATATTCCAGTGAGGGGGAACACAGGTGTATGCATATTCCATTATATCACTATCTATCAAAGGTATAAATTTGAACAATTTGAACTGAATATAGTACTGACATTTTGTGATCAGTGGTTTTGTGAGACAGGACTACTTCGAGGGGACTACTCCTGTACAGTTTTCACTATTTCTTCTTAATCGCATGGCGTAACCAAATCCCACATGTGAACATATTACAGAATGCAAATATCGCAAGTAATAAATGCTTGATCAACACGCGTCAACTTGGATGGGTTGGTCACGTCATTAGTTTGCCAGAGAACAGTTTAAGTTACCGGATCTTATACGAAGAACTGAAAGATTTCACTAACACTTTCGATATGTACAGATTAAATGAAGTTCATCCTCAAGTAATGCGGCGCCCAACCTACCCAACTTGGGACACTTGCAGCTAACCGCTCAACCTGGCTTACTACCATTCACCAGAGCTACTGTATCTTTCAAATCAGTCCTTAGTATAGACAAAAATCTATGTCGTACCCGTAGACAAGAGAGAGAAGTAGAAGGATCTCCAGCTCCAAGAGACGGCATTTCATGGCCAACTTGTAGAAAACACTGCGCTTTCGAGTTTGGAATGAAATGGCATTTGGAGAGTCATTAGCAACAACGAATATAACAAGTTTAAACGTTCCAAATCCAAAATTCAAGCTAGCGATAAGGAAATTGTGATGCCATCAATAACTACGGGCTTCCTCTGATTGAATCACTGATTGATTTGACTAGTAGCACATTGTTTAACATACGTAAACAATTGAATCATTTCAATACTTGCCGATTCCGTTAGAAATGAAATCTTGTGCCAAGTCCAGCAAATATTAAAATGCATATATTAGATTGTGTATGTACGTTCTTGCAAATAGTTCAACGCTTTAAATATGTTATCTCCAAATAAAAAGATAAGTTGCCTACGAATGTTACATATATAAAGGCAACGTGACAATTTTTTGATGTATAAATGACGTTAATTCAACATTATAGATTTTTCCGCAGAGTTTTTCCTCATCAAGGACATATTTAAATGGAGATTTAAAAATCAGGCGAGCAAAGTAACTGAATGTCGACACGGCTGTTGCCCGTGTGCAGTTACAGTATGCGTATGTGTAAACATTTTCATCACAAATGCCTCTGAGGAATAAATGGCAAACGAAAAGTACTTGAAGTTCAGAAGAGATTGGAAAAATGATTTTCTCTGACGTGCAGTTTTTCTGTTTTTACTTTCGTTGTAAATATGCGTTCATTTGGTTTCAGTGACAAATGTTAAAAGCAATTGAATTCGTCGATAATCACCATAAATAATGATAAATCAATGCAGTTATTTATGCATTTTCTGTCCACTTGTTCTTTTCTTTTTGCTTAGATTAATTTTTACGTACAAAAATGTTTCGATTTTTTGCTTTCATTGTCGTCAGCTGTTGTAGATTTTTCCCGCCCATTCTCGAGCGATTACTCTGAGCAACATCATCTTTCCATCTTACTAAAATAAATAGTCTTGTCTTTCTATGACTAATGAATATCGAATTATCATATATATCTTTTTGAGAGGCAAGCAAGGATATCTGATTCAGTGAATAGTAAAAGATTCTTTATTTTATTTTATGCGATATGTCTCTTCAGGACGTGGGAGATCATCGCCCTCCACAACATCTCATCCTTTGTATCACTATTTACATCGTTCGCACTGTTATGTCTATTTTTATTGCCATATTCATGACTTTTCGGGGGTTGTACGCTTCGGAATTCTTCAGATCTACACCCGTAGACTAAATAAAGGGTTCGACACGTGATTCCAACTAATATCAGCTGAAGATTGCCGAAGCGTACAACAATCGAAACGTCGTGACGATGGCAATAAAGATGAACACAACAATTCGAATGATGTAAATAGCGTAAATCGTTACAATATCTCATATCAGAAATATAGATAGATTGCATCGTTTGTATCGCTAAGCAATG